TTCTCATCCGAAGTGGCGGTTTTTAATTGAAATAGCGGATTAGTAAACAATGGATGACCGCACCCCTTGGAATTAATGCCATGTCAATTTCAAGAATTCTGAAGGAGAAACTAGGCCACACAAAAAATCTTCGAGACGGACGCCTCATCTTTTGAGAGAAGAGCAGAAAGGGGCTAGGGGACTTCTTCATTTTTTATTTTTCGGAAAAATGTGTCCAACAGGGTCTGATTTTTCTCAACAATACTTGTTTTTCAGCTGAATCGTGTGCTGTTTCGGGTTATATTCCGAAAAAATTTTGTTGACCTTTCTTTTTTTTAGGTTACGTAAGATATCTGCGTTTTCAAATTTTCTCTTTGTTCAAGTGATGCTTCGAATGAGATGTAAATTACTTATTCCGCTAATATTGCAGAAAGATCAGAGCAAGTTTTACGGCGATTTGCTGGAAAAGCGCAGGACGCAGGCGGAAAAAGAGCAAGAAATCATGCGTCTCAAGAAGGTCAAGAACAAGGAAGAAAAGCAGAAGTGGGACGATCGTCACTGGTCTGACAAGGAGCTCGAGCAGATGACTGAACGGGACTGGCGTATCTTCCGCGAAGACTACAACATCACCGTCAAGGGCGGGAAATTACCCAACCCATTGCGTTCTTGGAAAGAAGCCAATTTGTGCGAAGAGCTGGACGCCATCATCAAGACCTTGGGCTACGATGAACCCACGCCGATTCAGCGTCAAGCCATTCCGATCGGGCTCCAGAATCGGGACATCATTGGTGTGGCTGAAACGGGTTCGGGTAAAACAGCCGCTTTCTTGTTGCCACTACTTGTGTGGATCATGTCGTTGCCGAAAATGGATCGGCAGAAGCAGAGCGACGAAGGGCCTTATGCCATGATCATGGCCCCGACTCGAGAACTGGCTCAGCAGATTGAAGAAGAGAGCAACAAGTTTGGAGGTCCGTTGGGAATCCGCACCGTCGCTGTTATCGGTGGTTTGAGCAGGGAAGAGCAAGGCTTCAAATTGCGTCTCGGTTGCGAGGTGAGATGTGCCCAAGTTTCGGACTAGCTCCGGATTAAAACGCAGTTTCTCTCCTGATGGCCCTGTAAATTAGCTTGCAAATTTAGAAGCACAATTCATATATATATTTTTTTTCAATGGATTTGAGTTGTAAATTGGGTTGCTGTACGATTTGCCTGGTTATTTCTGTCCAGGTCATGAATGCGTTTGATATTTGCTTTTTAAAACATGGGAAAGTATTAATTTTGTCTTTCTTCAATTAGATTGTCATTGCTACGCCTGGGCGATTGATCGACGTCCTGGAGAACAGATATTTGGTGTTGAGCCAATGTACGTACATTGTTTTGGACGAGGCCGACAAAATGATAGACATGGGTTTCGAACCCGATGTGCAGAAAATCCTCGAACACATGCCTGTGACCAACTTGAAGCCGGACACCGACGATGCGGAAGATGCGGAAAAGTTGATGGCGAACTTCGCCACGAAGCACAAATATCGTCAGGTGATTCATCAAAACTGTTCGATTCTCTGATGAGGGTGCCCATCTGAACGGAAAGTTAAAAAAAGAAAAGAAATTGAGACAGTAAGAGCAGAAAAATTGTAGTGTAATAATTTGAAGTCTTGGGGAAATCGAGGACGGCGTCTATTCCCACGTGGGGTCAAGTGAATATTTTTTGACGATTTTAGTGATACCAACTCTTGTGCAAAAATAGTCTATCTACTATAATCGGCATACCGTATATCCCTTTAAATACGGTATTGTATGTTAGTCAAGGCAGTTCAGATTATTGATGCTTCAAGCGCTGTCTGCTTAGGCAATGCTTTCTCTTTTCTGGCTTGAAGTCTTCGGTTGTTCAATTTGTGAGTTCCGGTGCTATTTTTTTCATGAGGATTCTTCTGTGCACTTCGATTCTTGAAACTCTCTCGGTCTATACTTCTTATTTTCTTAGCTCTATTTTTGTATGCTTGCTATTTTTAAACTTGCTCTCATAAGGCGTAGTATCTTGTGATATAGAGTGATTTTCTCTTACTTGATATTCTTCGTGCAATTTTGTTTGTCGCGTATTCGCGGGTTTTTGATGTACAGTATTTGAAAGCATCTTCTCTCCCACGAAATTGTCTCTACAGTACAAATTTTTTATTTCAGACTGTAATGTTCACGGCTACTATGCCTCCTTCAGTGGAGAGGCTGGCGAGAACTTATCTGCGTCGTCCGGCTACGGTTTACATTGGTTCAGTTGGTAGGCCCACGGAAAGAGTGCAGCAAATCGTGCATATCATCAGTGAGCAACAGAAGCGCAAGAAGCTCATCGAGATTTTGGATCGGAAAATTGATCCTCCTATTATCGTGTTTGTTAACCAAAAGAAGGGTGCCGACGTGCTTGCGAAGGGCTTGGAGAAACTTGGGGTAAGTTTTTCAGGTTTTTTGCACTTTTTTGTAGCTCCGCTCCGTGGAATGTCTGACGGATTGTTAATCTGAAGAGGCATTTTTGATATTGATTTATTTGCTGGAGCTCCTTTTTTGATTACTTACGTGTACTCTTTGGGATGCAAAAATGAATACGGTACCTTAAAAAGCTCTTCCGTTTTAAATTGTGGACCCGCAAGTTTATGTCTGTTCTTCACGGACCCGACTCCAACAGAAGACTGTGTAACGAATTCTTTCGTGGGTTCTGGATTATTGGTGTTGAGAATTTCGTTCAGGTTTTTTTTTTAATATTCACTGAGAAAATCTTTGAATTTTATCATTTTTTTTTTTCGAAAATTCCCGGATTTTAGTAGCAATTTATTTAGCTCTTATTTTTTGAAATTGTTGCTCAGAAATGGGTGCATCCTGTACACGGAGGAATTCGGTAATTGACGTATCAAGTAATGGCAGAACATCATTTTTCTGTTTTCATCGTTGGCAGCGAATTTTTGTGCCGAATTATCGATTTAAATTGTGATTTTATTGTTTTTCGTTTAGTATAACGCGGTTACCTTGCACGGAGGCAAAGGACAGGAGCAGCGTGAAGTTGCTTTGGCAAGTCTCAAATCCGGAGCCAAGGATATTTTGGTGGCGACAGACGTTGCTGGTCGTGGTATTGATATCAAGGATGTATCGATGGTCATCAACTACGACATGGCGAAGAACATCGAAGGTGATTGTCGTCTAGTGATCATCATGTTGTCTCTTTCACTCGACTGTGGTCTTCGTTTTTTTT